CTCTCTCTCTCTCTCTCTCTCTCTCTTAATGAGGAAGTTTTCCAATAGGTTTTATTGTGAATTCTAGAGATTTTTAATTTTCAAAACTATTAAATTACATACTTATACAGTATATTATAATTTATAAACTTTATACCACTTAATATGAATTTATAGCAATATAAGTACTGTTCGTATAATAATATGAGAACGCATTACACTCTATTAAATCATCTATATAAATATTATTCGTGTAATATTACCATGAATAAAATTTGTGTACTTTATAAATGGCATTTAGATTTGCATTTATAAGTTTTACATCAAAGTAATTGAGCGCAAAATTACAAAAAACATAATAAGTATAGTTTAATAACAATTATAACTTTTAATCAAAACAATATCTGATGCCTATATTTGTAACTTTTTATCAGTAATAACTTAATTATCATCACTGTGTTTGCATTAATCACATGTTCTACGCTATAATTGCTATTTAATTATCTGATATTTTTATATTATTTACAGATATATTAATAGATTAATGACTATAAATATTGTTAACATTTTATGCAGTGGTTTGTAATAACGTTACGATAATAATAGAGATTATGTGAGATATGAAAAGATATTGATTTCATAAGTGTTTTGTCAAAAACTTTTCCTCCAATTCTTATATTCTAATAATAAGTATAGTTTTGTTGGCAAACAGTTTGACAGCACTTTTTTTAATGAATTATATCCTATGCTATGATTTAAATGTAATTTTTAACTTTTCATTACAACATATTATACTTTTCATTAAGTTTTCACAAAACAAACATTTATATAACTTATATAATAAAGTATTTATAATGTTATTCAAAACGCGACGTGAATGCGGAAAATATTGATTTAATTAATAATTATAAATATTTGCCTATTTTTGTTATACGTATTATAATTACATAAAAACATGTTTTAAATATTAAAATTATTCACTTGTAATTTAATTCCAGTAATTTAAACTGCAAACAAACATTTGTATTCAAAATTTAAATAATAATATTATTACAAGTTTGAAATATTTAAATGTTATGAAGTGTTTATCACTATTTTATAAAAAACTCTTCAAAAGTGCCTCTACTTTACCCTTGAAATGGATTTTTAATGATACCAATGAGTACTTTTAAACTACTAACAGGGGGTCGAGAGGGGTGCCCCCAATTACAATGCAAATTAAATGCACGATTAAATTATATGTGAATTAATTAACAAGTTTTAAACGATTTGTAAATATTTTTATTTGTTTGACAAGAGTTATAAATATATCGATAAAGAAGAGAGCAATCAAACAGAAAATACAAGAAGTTTTAACAACTAATCATATATTTTACAAACTATTAATTAATAGGTTTTTATGTTAAAAGCGTTCATTCAATTGATTATAATTCAAGAATTTAAGTTTTTTGTTGTATTAATATCTTTCTCTACAATATCTATAACTAAAATATAAGTAAAATATAATCTAAACGACAATTGAATGCAACACAAGAACAGAAAAATCTATTGAAAGCATAGGAAACGTCCGCAAAGGGTTGGGCGCACAGAGAGTGGTGCCCAACATTTATTTGCGTCGACCGCCACCCATGGATAGTATTGTCACCAAACGGACAAAGATGTTGATGACATCCAAATAGATGGAAATGGATCTATAAGTACAGACAATCATATCATTAATATCGCAAATCAAATCACTTGGAAAACAAATCAAACAAAATCACTAACGCATTGATCGGATCGAAAGGTCTGTCGGCATAGACGGGGTGTGTCTCGGCTTTGCGGACAATGCGTTGGGTGTCGTACAAGAGAAAAGCGCTGAACAGTACGAGTCCTCCGTAGAGACTCAGCGAGAATAGGCCGGCGCCCAACGCTGTGGTCGGCGGCAAAAACATCGACCCTATAGTTGCCATTAAATACATGTATCAATGAATTAATCAATTGTTCAATAATTTTAATCTTGAATCAGTGATTATACCCATAGAGGCGGCGAACACAACACCCAAACCGATGGCCAGAGGGCCACCCATTGTGAGGAACTTATCGCTTGGGGCGCACGCGGCCACTGCCGACAGACTGCCCACAATACCCGCCGTATAACACGCGGCCCGCAGTATAAGTGGTCCGCCGAGAAGACATAGCGGAGCGATGACAGCGCCCACAACACCGCAGTGTAGGGCCCACGCCATCTGTTTGGTGCCAAAGCCCTCCTTATAGGGTATGGATTGGGCGATAACTCCTGTGCCGATCATTGCGCCCATCGTTAGCAACAGTGACTGAAAACAGATATAATTAGTAATCAATTGGTATTACAAGACACTCAAAGAGCAGACCATCATTGAGTTCTTAGACATCATTCGCATCATCGCTGGACTCCTGAGAGCGCCGACAGCGGCGGCCGCTGTTATGCCCAGACCTGAGCCGAAGTAGGCGTACGTCGTGTGTATCCTATCCCTCACGTACTGATCCCAAACCCTGTGGATTGAGACAAAAGCATAGATTAGTGATGAGTGTCAGAAGCGGCGGTAGAGGCCATACATTGAACGCTCGTAAATGCCGGCAGAATTGCTGAGTCCGAGACCGTAATAGCAAAGGGCGCCTAAACCGAAGAGAGCGCTTCCGGCCACTACTCCCTGACCGATGTTGAAGGGGAGGCCAGAGGTCGGCGCCATCAGCCGCTCCTTCAGTGTCTGTCGCTTCACTTCCATCCGTCTCGTGGCGTGTGAGTGGACTCGGGTTCTCGTGTCGCCAATCAGTCGTTTCACTGCAAATGAGAAGACAATCGTATGGTTAGTGGCAATCAATTAGTGGTTCCCAATGTCTTTGGGCACTCAATCATAACAATACGCAACTCATTGTCTGAACGGATGTGTTGTTGACTTTGCCGGCCGTCCACTGCCTGACCACCGATTGACCCAAACGTCCAGATGATTGGCCGCAAAGTATCGGTTGTCTCATAACAGATAACATTGTGTCGTGTCTTCAGATGACTATTAGCTGTCTTAAGAGCTGATCCAATATCTGATGCAATCAAAGGCTATTATTGTTTGATTCGTTGTAAACAAGTCTCACAATAATTACGTCCGAAAAGTATATGAATTCATAAAAAAACGTTTCATTCATTGAATTTGAGGTCAATTTCTGATGTTTACTATTAATTGTGAAAATTAACTGTTTTTTACTCTAAAACCTCTTTTTATTGAATCCATAATTGATTTGATATTTAAATTTAATTGTGATTTAAATACACGAGAGATATATCGCAGTCAACAGACATTCCCTTCACTTCTCACATGTTTTGTCCTTTTGTTGACATTTTTGTGATTTAATTGTTGTTTAGTTTTGCACTTAAATTGTATTCAAATTAATTGTGAATTAGTTTTGAATTTGATTTCAATTATGAAACCAAAGAATAATAAAAAGTCATTAATTATTAGTATTAATGATATTTTGGATGATTTAAGGCATGAAAACAAACGACTTTTCAATGAGTTATTGTTTTCTAACAAATGTTTGAATGAATTGAAAACACATTTAATTAAAATTCACTCAAAATATGAAACTCTTATCGATTCAGAAGACAATCAACACTTCCGGACATTATCTCAAACTTTAGATCAATTGAATGACCAGAAGATTACCACAAATGACAGTCATATTATCACTGGATCTGATAGTGGACTCAAGAGTTCATTAAATGATCAAAAATCAAGACAAAAACGATTAAAAACTCGAGAAGTGATTGAATCAAATGAAGACACTATTAGTGAAGACTCGGATGAAAGTTATGGCAAATCTATTAAAACTTTGGCCAAAAATAAACGCAAATACACTAAAAGACAGCCAAAAGTGTCGACAAAAGCGAAATCAAAGCAATCGATATCTCGATTAAAACCATTAAAAGAAAAGCCAATAAAGACAGAGACGATAACCACCGATGACTCGAACGGAGACAGCGATTACACGATTGAAAGCGATGTCAAACCGAAGAGGACTCAGAAGAAGATATGTGTCGTCCCATTGACTACCATATTGTCGACGACGTCTGGTCTTAATCTGTGTCGCGATAACATCAAGAAGTGTTTGGATTTGTCCACCAATTCATACAAATGTCCGGAAATGGGTTGTCTGTTCTCTTCGGCCAAACAATACTTACTCTTCTGTCACATGTATAGCGTTCACACCGAACGGCGGATCAAATGCACGCACGAGGGGTGCGACAAACGATTCATTAAACCCTCTAAATTGATCGCACATTTGAGTGTCCACTCAAAGGACAGGCCGAAGAGGACTCAGAGCACGACATCTGTGGTGCCCTTCAAAACCATACTAACGACGACATCGGGTCTGAATCTGTGCCGCGAGAACATCGAGAAGTGTCGCGATTTGGCCACTAATTCGTATAAATGTCCCGAAACTGGTTGTGACAAATGTACGGCCAAACCGTACGCAATGTATAAACATTTGTATCAAAACCATACGGGAAAGCGAATCAAATGCACGCACGACGGGTGCGACAAACACTTCACCGCTATGTGGAAAATGATCAGACATTTGGCCACACATTCAGACGAGAAGTCGTTTAAATGCGATTACGCCGACTGTCAGCACTCGTGCCGGAGTGCCAACGCTTTGAGACTACACGTGACTGACCGGCACTCGACGGACCAGCCGTTGAAATGCCATTACGCGGGCTGTCGAGTGGCCCACAAGACATATGGCAGCAAAAATGCTTACGAACAACATTTGCTGACACATAAAGCCGAGCCCACCTTCCGGTGCGGAACCGATGGTTGCGATCACATGTTCTTCACGCGCGGCAAACGGATTAGACATCAGATCGAAGCGCATAATAGGACTCCGAATACCCGACGCAAGTATCGGTGCGATTGGCCCGGATGTGAATGGATGGGCGAGAATATACAGGACCACAAACGCGATCACTTAGGGATTAAACAGTGGCCGTGTCTTTGGCCCGACTGTGGCATGAAGTTTAAGGCGAGAGTCGTTTTCGAAGACCACATGAATATACACAACAACGTGAAGCCCCACACATGCCATTGGCCCGGATGTGACTTTCGGGCTTATGTTAGGACTAGTGTTAAGAAACATATTAACCGCAAACATAAAAAATAATGTAAATTTTGTACATAAAAATAATTCAAAAATATGTATCCGACAAGTGCCTAATATACTGCTTAGCAGCACAAAAATAAAAATTCAGAGTCTGATTAATTCACATATGACTGGATAAGTAATATGAGCAAGGTGTCTATGTTAGTAGCAAATTATTGCTCATAATGGTTCTGAAGTGGGTGCAAACTGTGTCTGTGTTCAGAGTCACCTCAATTATTTAACAAATTAACGTATTATGTTATGTGATATGAAACAATGTTAAATAAGAAGTCGATTGATCTTTCATATATGGCTGTCCGACTTCGGGTTCGGTTGCAGTGACCACTTTTATCGGAAAATTTAACTTATCCAATATTAACATGTGATATATTAAATCAATGTAGATTTT